AATAGGAAATTCAATGGCCAATTTACTGTCTTTGCAGGTAGACTACAATACTTGAAAATCACCATACAAAACACTATAGCCTATTGGATACGTGGATCTATTTTACCAAAAACTGTGTATAAGGTTTACAAAAAATTATCCTCAAGATTTCTGTTTTTTGGGGATGTAAACTCTGGTAAGAAGCTTCATATGCTATCCTGGGACAAAATTTGCAAACCAAAATCCAAAGGTGGACTGAGTATTCCTTCTATACATGCCTTTCAGTTTGCTTATCATTGTTCTGTTATATACAGGATGTATAATTGCTCTACTCCTCTTTCATCCTGGCTACTTACCAAATACAGATCTTTGTGGAAGGCGCCTCTGGTATCTGCCTCTAAACTCTGGAAATCCATTTACTATCACTGCTTTAAATTTACTATCACTCAAAATTCTCCTGTTTCTCTTAAATGGGATCACTGATGCAATAATTCCACTTTAGGGGATTATATTGGTGATGTTTACCTTGATATTATCCCTAATCTCACGCTTTCTGAGCTCATTTCTGGAAACACTTGGGATCTCTCTGGTAAAATTCATGCGTCCCTGCATCAGGTATTTAATGGTATGCAAATTTCTGATAGCGCTGGTGCTTGCTTGTTATGGAGCAACAGCAATAATGTTAGATTCAAATTTTTTATAGATGAATACTATTCTGATAAATCTGATTGATGTTGGGTTAATATGTTATGGCATAGGGGACATATTCTTAAACACACGGTTTTTGTTTGGCTTGCTTTAGCTGGGGGTTTAAAGACCGCTGATGCTCTCCTTACTAGACAAATTCACGTTCCTCTTTGCTGCAGCTTATGTAATTCTCATGAAGAATCTGTGTCCCATTTGTTTTTGAATGCCCTTTTTCTTTTGAAATTCTTAAGGGTATTATACCTGGGATGGGTATCTTTCTTTTTAGGCCTTCTATTATGCAAGTCTTTGACTGGTTAACTAAAGCTTTTCACGAGAAAACTGAAGCTTTAAAAGCTTTCAAGGTGGCTGTAAGCTATATTATTTACTATATTTGGAGGAAAGGAACAATATAAGATTTGGTGGGAATTATCTATGCAAGACTACTGTTCTGTTAAGTATTAAAAGAAATCTGCATCTGAAATTTATGAAATGGAAGAATTCTACAGAACTGTTGGAGATTTACTAATGTGCTGGTTGTGCTGGATGCAATTTCGGGTCC